TTGAGTATCCTGCGTAGACAGCTATTTATAAATACTTGTACCTTCTTGATGATGGTTATAGTAGTTCTCCAAGTTTCAGCTCCGTACAGTAGAACTGTCTTGACGTTGGTATTGAAGATTCTGACTTTGATATTGGTTGATAGACAGTTGTTTTGAGTTCCATATGTTCTTCAATTGTAGGAATACGGGCCTTGTTTTGCCAATCCTCGCCTTTACGTCCGCATATGCTGGTTCAATAGTCTAGAGTTTAAGCATTCACGCGCGACACCGAAGATCTTGGATTAAAGTCCTATATGTGGGATTGTGGATGCATAATGCTAAGGAATCCCATACTATAACGAAACAACCGGGTTATCTTAGATCGATTCATGAATTCAACTATTTTCATTATTTCCATTACTTAACATTCTATTTCATAATGTTTTCATTTAAAAATTAGATTAACACTTGTGTATTTTAGACAAAACATTCATTGACCTCGAATAACACTATAAATTATAATATGACAATGATAATAGCCAAGACGATCATGTTCATTAAATACATACCTACCTACATACATACACACACACCATGTTTCCACTTATACTCCAATTGACATTATCAAGCACACACATACGCACATGTACACACACCACGTCAGTTACTTATGCATAAATAATGAATATGAATGTTACCTATAGATGATAACTTATGGTATCAATCTTATTTATGGTTTCCTTCTTCAAGCTGTGAATGAACAACAAATAACCACCAGCTGGTTTATCACGAATATATATGTATATCAATGGATAAACAAACATATAGACATAGACAGAAAAGGTTTTATGATTACAGTTAGAATACTGGTTAACAATGAAGTCTTATTTCGAACTAGTCAGTAAGGTGTAGATACCTATCAAGTGATCCACTAAGCTACTCGGTTCAGATAATCCTTGACCTGTTTAACGGGTATAAATTTTAACTCCTAAGTGTTTGTATCTTTCTGTTGTTAATGTGATGAGTTATAACTGATCATTGTCACTTGGTATATGTGCATCCTGTGAGAATTTCCTCAGTATAGTCATTCTGTCATAAGTTTACATAATAGATGAGAACTCATTATATGGATTTCACTGCTAACCAAAAACCATCTATGCTAGAAGTTGGAAAAGCCTTTAATTTTCACATTTATGTATTTAAAATCCCAATGCACAGATACGTATACATTGTGTCAGACACAAAGTATGCCTCTTTTTAAGTAAAGATGGTTAGTGGCTAACAGTGGAATCCAGGACGTGCGTTTCGTCCCGTTCGGAACTCATCAGCTGATCACAGTTGATATTGACTCCAGGGCTCGAACCCAGTACTGGTTGCTTCAAACGCCATCGTATTATCCACTTGGCTACTAAGTCCTGATAGCCAGCTGATTGTGCAAAATACTGAACATTGCACGACTTATTCAGTATTATTTGTCAAGTAATAAATATGTTACATAGTAAATTAACCTAAGGCAAATAAGAGGGTCAGTTCATTTTGATAACATCTAATTGCTTCCCGGCTCTTTCGATTTTCTTCACATTCACAAATTGATTTCTAGTTTAAAGGGAAAAGATTAACAAGCTAATTAACTGTTAGGAATTTCGACAATGACCACATTAGAGATTGAATCTTAATCTTCCAGTGTTCAAGAAAACGTCACAACAATACAAATCAGCTAAGTTGACATGTGATTAAACTATACATTTTTAATCTTAGTTATATAATAGAACAAATACAAAAAACCCTTCTAATATGAATCAACATATATGCTCTTGAAGTTGTAGTGAGAAGCAGTGACCAGTGAAATTAAATCAGGTCTGTAATGCGATAGTAACTCACTGAAGACAATGGTGGATATACATCGCTGAATTTCGTAGATTAGTTGAAGTTAGACATTAACACTGTTGCATGCCGACTAGCTCAGTGGTGTCTAGAGTTTGATAGGTGCTGGGTTTGAATCTCACGAGATAGGATTGTGGATGATGAGCACTACTTAGTGATTGCATAATAGGATAAGTTATCCATCCAATACTTCTAGATTTTCCATGTTAGTCTAACTTGAATTGACTCATGATTTCAACTATGGGATATACAAATCTATTCAATTCATCTTAACTACTTACACTACACTAATTGTCACCTAAACATTTCATGAAATGGTCTAAACTAGAAATTCCTTCTTTTAACTTCCATTTTTTTTCTCTTTGTTCTTTGTTAATTTTATTTTTAAACATACAAAGTAGTTTTCACATTGACTATGACAACAAACAAACAAATGAAAAACAGAATTTATTTATTTATTTTTAACTTGATTTCAATGCAAAACGGAAATCATTGGTCTGTAACGGTTTTTTGTGTATGTGTGTGTGCATGATTCCTATGTATGTATGTTTGTATGTGCATCCGTGTGTGGTTGGATGGATGTAAGACGAAGAAAAGTCAGTATATACATCTGATAACAATTGGGTTGAATATTGTAAATATGTGAGAGAAATTCTTTCTCCCTCTCTCTCTCTCTCTCGTTCTCGTGTGTGTGTGTCATGCGTATGCATTCTAGCTACAGACACAGATACAAATCACGGTATCTTTGATTTGTGTATGTGCACTTGTCTTATATGGGTGGGTGCATTGTGTATAAGTATTGTGTTTGTAGTGTATATTTGTATGGTTTGTATCTAAACTTATTTTTACTTACATGTTATTAATAAATATACATAAATTAAGTAGTCGATACATAAAAACATAATTCACAAAACAACTGAGTTATTTTAATGTTATTGTGTTGTAATGGGCTCTGATTATTGTGAAAAGTATGTTTTGTTTTCTTTTGATTGAGATCATAAATCGATTAATGTTAAACTGGTATGGAACTTTCACAGGTTGAAATCATGAGTCAGTTGAAGCTAGACCACCATTGAAAACCTGGGAGCACTGGACGGCCGTTTCGTCCTGGTATGGGACTCCTGAGCAGTGCGCACCCACGATCCCGTACCACGCGGGGCTCGAACCCAGGATCTACTGACTTCGCGCGCGAGCACTTAACCACTAGACCACTGAGCCGGCATCTAACGGTGTTAATGTCTAACTTCAACCAATCCACTCTTGAGCAGTGTATGTCCACGATTCAGTTGGTTAGATTCGAATTCAGGATCTTCTGTCTCGAGCACTTAAACGCTTAAACTTTAGGTCACGGAGACAACATTTAAATGTTAATGTCTAACTTTAACCAATTCACGAAATTGCTCGACCATCTTTCATTGTCTGAGGTTTATATCTATCTCTACCTGGCACAGATTAGCTCCACTAGTTATATTTCGTCTTACTAATGTTGAATAGTGACTAACAGATAGAGCATTTCATCTTATTTAAGACATATTAGTTCTATGACTGGTGGGCGGCCTATGCTCCTCCACGAAGGGTAACAGGCATAAGTACCTGTCGTTAGTGGTTATATGGACTCAATAGCTCAATGAATAAACTGATAGGCATTTGGAGGGGAAGGTATTGAGTTCAAGTCCTGATGTGAACATCAACAGCGAAATATGAGAACACACATATGAGGAACCCTGAAATAAGATGGAACAGTCATCCTCAATTCCACTACTGATTTCTATTTAGCGTCATTAAAAGGAGACATGTAACTTAATGACAATATGCAGGCAGTCCGCACACAATTCACATATGCCGAAAGGAATTAATTTCAGTCCTTTATCTAGTTGAATATTCATCTTTGTATGATTCAACTTCAGTAACACTGATATATCAAACCATATTCTCTTTAGATTTGAAGTCTCCATTAGAGGATACTAACAGTCATTATTGTTGAAATGATAAAAGTCGATTACGATATCAACTCGTTTGTAGATTTCATTTTACTTTACTTTTTAACTGTAATTAAATTGGTTTTGGTGGAGTTTTGTTCTCTGAGCTGGATGGTTTGGTCGTGGAGCTTTCATCGTTCTTCTGAACGACATCATCAGCACAAACTTCAATTGGAAGTGAAGTGTTTGAATTTCTCCATATCTGTTTCAAAGCTTGTTCTGTGCACCATCCAACTCAGAAAACAAAGCTCCACCAAAATCATCCACCTGAGCTACAAATCTCCACCATCTCAATTAAATTGGTATTTTATGAAATGACAATGTTGGTCAATTATGCACATTCAATACATTTCAAAGTGGATTAGTGACTTGGTAACTATATGACTCAGTTTTTAGTCACCAAGTCACAGGTTCGAAACCCGTTCCACATAATTTCACCAGGCGAACTTGGTGATATCACTAACTGTCACACAAAAATAGATAGGGCTTAAATCTACATACAAAAACTTGTACTCCATAGATCATTTGTAGCTGAAAGTATACTTAACTGATTACTTTTAACAATATTTAAAATGGACGCAAAGTCAATTTTAGCTTATCAAAATGAAGTTGATATAATTTACTACTCAATGATCTAAAAAGAATTAAGTTTAGGACTAAAAGTTTTTGAGATAAGTTGGTAATTGGAGGTAGTCAAAAGCAAACCCTGAAGCCGGGTTTCGTGCTATTTGGCACTCGTCAGCAAGGTTTACTTGTAATCTTGAGGGAACTGGTGCTCCTTGACGGATTTGATCCCGAGTCACCCAGTCTCACAGTCAGAGACGTTTCCACTCATCTATCCGGGTCTAGGGGTTGGCGCGCGAGACTGAAGTTCCTGGGTTCGAGTTTCACATGTGGGATCGTGGATGCATACTTTTGAGGAGTCCCATACTATAGTGAAATGGCCTTTCAATACTTCCAAGTTTTCAGTGGTAGTCTAACATGATTTCAGTAAAATTCAACCATCTCCATAACCCCATACTGAACATAATTGTTTTCTTTTTACTTCATTTAGGTGTGTCACTTAGTCACTGTTTTAAAAAATTCCTCTTTCCGAAAGAAATTATTTCTAATTTTTTTCTCCCTACTTCATCTTCATGTTTCTTTTTTTTTTCAAAGGAGTATTAGTTGTCAATGTGACATGGAGAGGTCGAACGTATATTGGTACTTTGTTAGATGCAACACAGCATGATTTCGCTCCACCATGGTAAGTTAATATTGATTACTCTTAATTACTAATTAGTTTTACATGACAATTTTGTCATTTCTAGAAAATTAATAATCTAATCCAAAAAAGAAAGATTAGATTTCATAGAAAAATTAATATCAGTTAAAATATCAGTAGAGGTAGTAGTAGTGTGGTGCGTGCTACTTATATTGATATAAGTAGTATATTATGCGAGTCAGGAATGTAATGTCTGGCAGCAGAAGATGAGGGAAGATCAAGAAAGCAAGAGCGGGAATAGAATGCAATATGTATGAAAATGTAAGAACAATGAAGTATGAGGCATTTTGAGACAATTGGTGGACATTTTGCAAGTTAATGATTTAATATATAGTTCTCAGATTTTATTGAGATGCTCTGTAATTTTGTGCCAAGTACATTTGGTTTTCCTTACCCGTGTTCTGTCCACTACAGTAGTACTGTGGTATGTACTACTGATGTCAACAGATATGAGTGGTATGTATCATCAATCGAAAGTGGAATGCCTAACAGCAGAAGGTTGAAAAAAAACTGAAGAGAACGAGGACAGAGAGTGATTGATATGGGAACGAAGGAACAACAAAGTCCGAGACAACTGATGAATATTTTGCAGATGACGTATTACTATATAGTTCTGAAATTTACCAACATATTCGGCAATGTTGTATTGAAATACATTTGATTGTCCCCATCTGTGTACAATGTATTGTACAAGACAAACTGTTCTAGTTTATTATTTATTTTAACATATAGATATTGGTAAAAGGAGGCACTAAATAGATATGCGCCACATAAATCATTCGATTTGTGTGAGGGCCGTGATACTGCCCGGGTGCCCAAACCGAAGAAAGTGGTTATCTTAGGGGGGCCACTCCACGAGCCTTTGACCTTAAGGTCTGATCCACAAGGCAGTGGAGCACCGTGAGGAGATGTAGTCTCATGGTAGCCGGTGACCAACAATTGGTTCATACACCATTTGTTCCCTCAGGATACTGGAGCCCATGTGCACCATTGGTTTGGAATCCGGTTAAAGCACCGGACATTCGCTTTTCGTCCTCTCAATTTCGTAAGCAACAACCACGCCACGAGAAGGCAGTGAGTAGGACTTCCCCGGCAGATGCTGTATACACGTGGCCATGTGAGACCATTTCGAGAGAGAGAGCGGACTCTCCCCACTCTCGGCTGTACCAGGGCATTTGGGGGCATTCTAGTTAATAGGAGTGAATCAATGAGAGACAAATATGTTCAATAAATACACGAATCTAGATGATTGTCATCTGAACAGAACTATCCATAATTAATCAGTTTAATAGATCAATTAGAAAAGTTTATGTGTGAAGTGAACATTTTTGATTTTATACAACTATCGCGATCGTTTAACCAAGTCTTATGTTTTTGCTTAACTGAGAAGAGATTTTGTTGCATAATCCGATCTAAGGCCTCTTCATGGCGTTACTGAATACTAGGGGCAGTCTTGCTAGCCAACTTAGGCGATCGACAGACATCGGAATGATAACCCAACTGTTGTATCTTGGGCCAACTCGGGTTCCACTCGAGACTCACTTAACCTTCCTGATGTGTATGTTTATATATAGGTATTGCAGAGGTCCTCGAACCTATGTATTTCTGTATGTAGGTATATGCAACGGGTGTGCGTGTGGTGTCGTATAAAGGAAACGACAGCTAAAATATTGTATGCCTAATCTGCCAAGTCGAAGACATAATAAAATTTTAGCAAATACTAGGGAGAGGTGACCAACAACCTCCTCTGAGAGAATACATATGCTTATGTATGTGTCAAGAAGTACTGCGGCGGTAGCCATGGGGTAAATGATGTGCTTGTAATGTGTAAAAGAGAGTCTGGGGTAGTAAATACATTTCCAAAGGAGTGGTGAAAATCTACACTCCCAGGTAGATGGATATACATATATGTGTGCTATGGGATATATGGAATAAAACCTGTGTGTTATCGGTCTACATGTAACGTATAATTATTCTTTTAAGTTCTATTTAATTTCAGTAGTTGAAACCATGAGTCATTTGAAGCTAGACCAATATAGAAAACCTGGAAGCACTAAACGGCCGTTTCGTCCTAGTGTGGGACTCCTCAGCAGTGCGCATCCACGATCCCGCCCCCCCGCGAGATTCGAACCCCAGGACCTATCAGTCTTGTGCACGAACGCTTAACCTCTAAACCACTGAGCCGTTCAGCCGGCATCCAACTGTGTTAATGTCTAACTTCAACCAATTGTGTGTAAGAGTTCGAATTGTACTGTGACAAATATAAGTAGTGTTTATTAGAACTGTTTCGTTTTTAAGAATTGAATTTCATTAAAATTACTGTTACTGATAAGTGAATAATAATTGGTAAGTGTAATCTTCGTTTGTATTCTTGAAAAATAAGTTCCTTATTCATATCCATGAAGAAATTCTTTTCCAACCTATGAACAATTCAATATTTAAGTTATATAACTACTGATACTTATATTTACTCATGTATTTATCATATTTATTTTATAGTCCACGAGATTACGTACCTCCATTTAAATCATCAGTACGATCTAGTAATCGTACAAAACGTCGAACTGGAGTTGGAACAAATTATAAGTCAAATTTAACGAATCATCTTACAACTAATGATTGTAACTGGAAATCTACTTCAACTGGAAGACATCGATTACGTGGTCGAGCTTCAAATTCACCTGCAGTCAATAATAGTAATGGTATTGAGACTATTTCAACAACAAATCGTTGCAATACACATAATCTAACAAAAATCGATACTGAGAAAGAATTAATCAATGATAATGCTATTCAAGAGGATACTGATTTAACTCAATGTCTTCCTCATGTATTTGATGAAGAACAACTAACACGAAGTAGTAATAGTAGAAAAACTAAGTTACATAATAAAAGTCGTAAACTTTTTCGAGGTAGTAGTACATCATCAAGCGATTGTCCATCGGAAGTTCTACCTGATCTTGAGAAATTATCTGAAATTGGAGATTTCACCGGTAAAACTGATGGAATACTCTGTGATCCACAAAATCCTGATCATTCTCGACCACATACTCCATTATGTACAAATAATAATAATATGAATACTAATAACACTGATAATAATAGTAGTGATCGTGTTTGTTTTGAAGAAAATGATGAATTACATGAAACATTTCCAATTGGTTGTCCAATTGATGGTTGTAAAAAACGTTTCTCACATGTTCTAGCTTTACGTTTCCATTTGAATCATACATCACATTGTAATTTATTAGATTCTCATAAGAAACGTCCTTCTAGTATTGATTTAACGAAACGAGATTTCACTAATGCCAGCTCTATTACAACAACATCAACAGCTACAATTACTACCAGTACTAATGATAATAAGAATAATAGCAATGCAGTGAATTGTAGTTCAACACATTTGAAGTGTCCACCAACTATTTCACCATGTCAACCTTCCAGTTCATCCCCATTACCAACAGGAATAACAACTCCAGATCTACTGAATTCATTTGGTGGACCACTACTGCCATCATCATCATCATCATCATCGTCATCGTCGTTGCAGCATCAGTTAAAGCAAGAATCCAATCCATATGATCCACAATTGCAAAGTTGTCCAGTACCACAATTAACATCTGAATATAATCAAGATAGAATGTCTATGCATGTACAACAAAATAACATGCCTACTCATCATCCTAATTATAAATTGTATAATAAAAATGAACAGAAATTATTTGATACAAATATATCAAATGATTATATAAATGTAATGATGAATACGAATAATGATAATAATAGTAGTATGAATAATGTGATGCATTCAGTTAGTAAACAACGGAATAATGAAATAAATAAGCATTCTGGCAATAAGAAACGTTTATCTACATCCATGTCATCTAATAATAATAGTCCAGTTATTGATATCACTTCATTGAGTAATTATAATGGTAATAATGTACGTACAGTAACAGCGCATACAGTATCAGTGCCTCATGGTTCATTAGACATTGTTGGCAATTCAAATTCTCGATCTAATCAACATCAACATCATTATGGACAACAACAAAACCATCAAACTAACAATGGTAATTTATTTCACTGCTCTAAGCGAACAACTCCAACATCATCGTCATCATCAGCTACTCCACGTGATTTCAGTAGTAAACATAAAGGAGGACAACAACAACAACATTTATCAAATAAATTGTCTTATCAAAATATAAAAACCGATATTAATAATAATAATTCTACAGTGATGAATTATTCTCGTTACAGTGGTGGTACTCATCATTGTGGTAGTTTAGAGCAACAGTCAATAAAAAGTGAATTGAACAATGATTATATGATGAATTTAACAATGTGTCATGCTTTATTGAATACTACCGCTACTACTACTATGAGTACAATGTCAAAATTGAAGAATTTAACAGTTAACCAGCAAGAATTTAATACATCACTGTCTAGTAATAATAATAATAATAATATGATCCCATCGTTACTTTTCCAAAATGCATGGAATCTTCAACTGCCGAATTCGTCTACGTACACACAGTCTATGCCATTGTCGTTTAATAGTAATAATAATAATAATCATAGTAAAGATGATGAATTGAAATCTACTATGAATTCATTAACTAATGGTTTACCGTCTTCATTATATCTGCCCACATATCCGAATATGCCAACATTTACTTCTTCGGGCAGTGTTGTTAATAACAGTCCCATAAACACTATGCCATGTTCGTCCACACCGTCATTATCCATGCATGAAATGTCCACAATATCGCAACCATTCAATGATTCAAAACAATATATTCCGTCTAATCATCATCATCATCCACTTGGTACAAGTTTAAATACTACTCCAAATCAGAGTGTAGATCTTAATAGTACTACTAATAGTACTAATAGTATGTATTATGGTATACCAGACTTTTTAGTTGCTGCTTTAAGTACACTAGCATCAAATGCTTCATCATATTCCTGTATACCGGAACCTTTTAAATCATATTTTAATCAGAATTCATTGATGAACAATACTACTAATCCTACTAGTACTAGTAATATGAATAGTAATGGTAATTCTATAAGTAAAACAAATAATTTATCCTCTTCAAATATGTCACTTTCATCAAATTCAGGAATATTGGATGGTACAATGAATAATCGATTTTTTAATCCACAATTCTTTCAAAATTATGGGACTAATCTTTCGAATGTACAAAATTTTCAATCATTTAATAATAGTAATAATAATAATAATAACAGCGGTAATCTAACTTTAAATCCGGAAAGATTAGATCCATTGAAATTATCTGCAGGTAAGTATAGAATAGAATAGAGTTATGTTGAAGCTTGAATGTGTTCAGTACCAGTATTTATGATATGCTTAACACAAGTCCTAATCACCTATTTCGACATAGAATGTTAGGTGGCATAGAAACAATTTAGAAAAGTAATTAAAGGGTGGCCAAATCAAGATATAATATTAGTCTATGAAGTCCACGGACTTTTAATTTGAGCCAAATCGGTAGTTGCAAATATTGTAGTAGGAACCTATTCATGCAAGAATAATAGTATTCACTTTATTCGAAATACGAAATAGGTCATGAATCTTAGGAAAAAAACTATCCATAAATAGTCAGTATAGGATTGTGGAAATTGTTTAATTTCATTGAAATCACCACCACTGAAAACCTGGAAGCAATGGACAGCTGTTTTGTCATAGTATGAGAATCACCAGTGACTAGCTTCAAGTGGGAATTTCAGAATTTCTAATGAGAAGCCGTGAACAGGGAAGCCAATCTATATCGGATGTGAAACAGTTACTAATTGAACACAATGTTATGGACTGATTGATGTTAGACACTAACATTATTGGATACCGACTCAGTGGTCTAGAGGTTGGCGCGCGAGATCGAAGTTCCTGGGTTCGAGTTTTACATGTGGGACCGTGGTTGCGTACTTCTGAGGGGGTCCCAGTGCTTCCAGGTTTTCACTGGTGGTCTAACTTAAATCGGTTCATGATATCCATAAATAGGCTTTTCTGTGATGATTAACTATCAGTGACTTTGAACCGTAATTTTTTTCAACCACGTTTTAGATGTAACAATTACCTTTGTTATATTTATTGTTAGTTAAAATAGATACAGAATGAGGAGATTTTTTTATCAATAGTTATATAGTTGGCTGGAAAAAAATTGATTAGGCTGTCACAGATAACATTTAGGAAAAAGATAAGGAATGTGTACATGTTGTGCGATATTTTAAACCGATTATCAACCATATCAATTGTGATCAGTATGGCGTTGTGGAGATTATTAAGTTCTTGATCAAGATCATGAACCGATTAATGCTAGACCATTATCGAAAACTTGGTAGCACTGGACGGCCGTCCCGTCCTATTGCCAGACTCCTCAGGAGTGCACATCCACGACCCCGCTTATGGGATTTAAACTCAAGGCCTTCGGTCTCACGCGCGAATGCCTAACTTGTAGACCACTGAGCCAGCCGGCATTCAACAGTGTTAATGTCCAACCTCAACCAATCCACGAAATTGAGCGACCATCTTTCATTGTACTGAGGTAGATACCTGTCTCTACCCGACATAGATTAGGTCCATTAGTCAATTAAGATTCTTAATTATTGAAGTGGAATTATGAAGTTATATGAAGATTGTAACACTGGTTGATTAACAAGGTTGAAAAATGCATAAAGTGTAGTTTTGTTACTGAGGACTTAGTGTAATATCTAATCAGAATTTTAGTTTAGAAATATTTGTAAAATTACTTGATTGCATTATGTATGCTTGCTGATTTATTGAAGTGATCAATATGAATCCTTGTCGATTCCGATCACACATTGGACAACTGCTGTAACTTAGTTTGAAACATCTTAAGATATCATTCTTACTTTAATATCTTTGAGTTTATTCCCATGAGGAATTGTGAGAATATTACTGTCTCTAAAGTCTCATACTTAACAACTACCCTGTGTGTTTTTTTTCATTATCAGTCAATGTATTAATTTTATTTTTCATATTCTCTAACCTCTTCTACACTAGCCTACTTGATGCAGTATACAAATCCAAGTGCAACACAATTATCATCCTCCTCCTCCTCATCATCATCAGCTACGGTAACGTCAACTTTCGGGAATAGTATATAACCGTGACAATAGAATTCCCTTCAATCAATGCTTCTATTGATTGTTATTTCTTTCTTTCTTTTCTTTTCCTCTCTTTTCGTTTTGTTCCATAAATTTACTTGTCTTTCATTAGTTAGTGATCTGTATTTAAAAAGAAACACACACACACACATTATACATACCTAATTATTTATTTATTTATTTATTTAAACAACTATAAACTCAATGATTAATATTTGTGTATGCTCATCCTGTACACTAAATGTAGTTTCTTTTCTTTCTGTGAATTCATCTTAGTTTGATTACAAAACAAACAAACAACAATAACTCAATTACACCATTACATGTGAACCATTTATCCAAAATCTATACTACTGTTACCATGATTAGTAGTAGTAGTACTACACTACTACTACTTTGGACAATTGATCAACCTGACAATTAGAAACAAAACACTAATATTGATCATGATAATGAAATGAAATGGACTATTAAAAATAACCTATACTGTGAATAATAAATAGACACCAAAATAAAATGTATCATCACAATTGGTTATCATGAATTGTTGATTAGGTCTTCTTTTTCTTCTTCTTCTTCTTCTTCTTGGTATATTTACATATATATATATATATGTTTATGTATATCTATGGTTTGTTTGTCTTTCGTTTTGTTTCATTCATATCCCAACATTAAAAAAACAAAAACAAAGTGAGGGATCAGTTCACAAAACAACCTGTTACATATCTCTTTCCGTTTACTCATATACATATATCTCGCACGTACACACACACACACACTTCTTCTTCTTCTTCTTCTTTGGCCTTGACATGTATTCACATTTATCTTGCAATATGTAGTTTCGATCACTACTACTTGTAAACAACAACAACATCAACAAAAAAGAATAAAACTATATTCTTGTGCCAAGTTTTGTACAAGTTGTACAATATAGTTGAATTCAAGTAAATATGATTCATTTCCCAATATATTGATTTTTTTGTATTTAATGTTCTTTCTTTTGTCGTAGCAACAATTCAGTATAATTAATTGAAAATAAGAACAAACAAACAAACAACTTCTTTATCTACCATATATATATATATATCTCTCTTCTTATACTGACATCTCTTTGTCTTTTCCTTCTTCATTATTTTAAACTAACTACTTCAACTTGTTGTTTCTTTCCAGTATGTATTTGTAAATCTGAGTAGAGAAATGGAGTAGAATAAAATAGTCACATTTATATCTCAATGTTTCTAAATATATAATCATGTCTTGTATGTATATGTATTTATGAATATCTATTTATTATTATTCCCTTGTTAAATATTACAAATATATGCATACCTACTTACTTACTTACTTACTTACTTATGCCTGTTACCCCCCTCATGGAGGAGCATAGGCCGCCGCTCACTAGCATTCTTCATCAAACTCTGTCCTATATGCATAAGTGTATATATATACGTAGATAGATAGATATATAGATATACATAAACTTTCTGTCTCACTACTCTTACTCACATTATTGTTAGTTGAAGGTATCAACACTAAAGAACATAAGTATATACACACGTACATTCGTTATAACTAACACACACACACACATATATATATATATATATATATATATGTGTACAGGCTTGGAAACAAATATTTATATACATAGATACAAACAGGCAATATATTGACTAATTTTGTATTTATATCTTAGTTTAATTATTCAATAATTGATTCGATACATATAAAGTGACATAGTGTGAAAGACATGAGTATATACATGTATATATATCACATTTACAATTAGGCTTTTATGATTTCTTCTATATATTGGAGTCATTTAGTAAACATCTTATAGTTTAGTTCATTTTTTTATGCTTCTTCATCTTCTTCTCTTTCTTTATTTTGTATTACAGTTCTGACTTGGATATGTTTGATCAACATTGTCATTCACTTATTTCTATCCCGTGGTTAAATGGTCTTTTTTGTTGTTGTTTTCTTTCTTTCTTAACGGAACAAACAAACAGAATTTGTTTATTTAAGTAATAATAATCATTATTATCAGAAGGGGTTTGTGGTGATTTTAGAAATTTTCACAGATTGAAATCATGAGTCAATTGAAGCTAGACCACCAACCCCTTCTGATAATAATTATCTGCTCACTAGTGACTGACTTCAAGAGATACTCCTGGAGTTCTAGTGGGAAGCCATTACCAGTGGAGTTTAACCAGGTCTGTTGTGAGATATCAGCTCACTGAAGACAATGGTGTACGGTGGCGCAACTTCGTGGATTGGTTGAAGTTAGACATTAACACCGTTGAATGCTGGCTCAGTGGTCTAGTGGTTAAGTGCTCGCGCGCGAAGCCAACAGGTCCTGGGTTCGGGTTCCGCGGGGTGCAGGATCGTGGATGTGCACTGCTGAGGAGTCCCGTACTAGGACGAAACGGCCGTCCAGTGCTTCCAGGTTTTCAATGGTGGTCTAGCTTCAATTGACTCATGATTTCAATCTGTGAAAATAATCATTATTATTATTCTTTATTACTTTAACATTTATTGAATGATTTGTATTCATTTTGAAACTATACTAGGTGTAAAAGTTGTGCGTGTGAGTGTTTACCGGCGGGTATTCATATCTGTTGAATATCATTAGACTATTATAAAAGCAGCTTTCTATAATACTGCTAAAAGGGCTACATGCACACACACGCATATATATACATGAACACAAATTAACTAATCAATAAAACATATCCTTAGTCTGTGAACTTTTTTTAAAATGTGGATCCAATGTGTCGAATAGATCATCTTGAATAGGTTGTATTCTTTGTTAAAACAATATGTTATAGAATCAAGTGAACAATTTCAAGGTCACGGTGCCTATTTTAATACCTAATCCTTATGTAGATTGGTTGACGTCGGATTTTTAAGTAGGAAGTTATAAGTGAGCGATCTCAATGGATGGGATTACTGAGAGCCTCATTTATTTATGATTGCCGTGACTGACTGCTGAACATTGTGACGATGTTGTATTTCGATGTAATATACATTTACGGAAAAAGTCTACTAGGACGGGAACTTTTTTCACTCGGTCGCGATTGACATGGAAAGTTTGTGACAATGTTTGCAAACTGAATAATAAGAACGCTAGTAACACTGGCTGCAACCTTTGCACATATTATGAGTTTTAGAAGTTTGATGGTATGAGTACTTTTTGTTGGATTTTTTTCTCTGAGCTGGATGGTTTGGTCGTACAGCTTTCATCGTTCTTTCAAAAGACATCATCAGCACACACCTCAGAGAACATAAATCCATCAAAATCATCCACCTGAGCTACAAATCTCCATCATCTCAAAATGGTATGAGTATTGTCAAGATATATGTGCAATGAACATGACAATCTTGAATCAGTCTTTTGGAAGAATCGTAGGAATAGACGAAAAAGTTGTCAGAAAACGTAAATTCAATACGAGTGTTATAGAAGACTGAGTAACTAACACTTCATTAAGTATACTTAGCAAGTCTTTCGTATATATGGTGGATCATCACAAAAGGCATACTTCCAGAGTATCAGAAACCGACAGGCTACAACAATAATACCAATTATAGGTCAGTCAGTACCAACGTACAACTTCGTACGTACGTACATTAGTTCGAGTTGCCACACCACATTAGCGCACATATACAATTGTCGACTCAAACTCCTTAGTAGTAAAAGTATAAGCAGTAATCGGAAAGATTAGGGTTTGAAGATGTTATTTAAAGAGTATAATCCAGTGAAATAAATTTTGAAAGAAAATAAAGGACATGAAGAATTCTGAACAATAGCATTTGAGAGAACACAAAGAGTGTATGCACCTGCGCCATTGCAAACGATTTTGAGCCATGTCATTCAGGGTCTCTAACCATCGGTTGCTGTCATCTCGCGGTCCCCAACCAGGTAGTCTACACCTACCAACATGGCTCAGTCCACTTGTCAGTGACTTCATGGATTTGTGCCATGTTTTGGTCTGGCCACCCCTAGCTTTCTTCCAACCTACTCCTATACAACAAAACATCGCACGTCAAGGCAGTCGGTCGTTGGGTATACGTGACACGTGTCCCAGCCATCTCAACTGATGAAGTTTCACTACTTCATCAATTGATTTTCCATCCTTACCTAGTACCCGTTTCCTAACAACTGCATTACTTACTCGATGGTCCCAGGATATACGAGCAATGTTTCGAAGACACCTATGATCGAATACTAGTAACCTACGAATATCCTCTACCCTTACCGGCCATGTTTCACTGCCATAAAGTAGGACGGAACGAACTACTGCGCAGTAAACCCGTCCTTTGGTTGATAGACGGATAGCTCGCCTACGCCATAAATGACGCAAGTTGGTAAAAGCTAGTCGAGCCTTCTGTATCCGTGCTGAGATTTCGTCACACACCAGACCACAAGGGCTGATGAGACTCTTGAGGTAAGTGAGGCGATCGACACGCTCAACTACTTCACTCTCTATCACTAGTTCGGGTGTCGATGTAACCCAATCCTGAAGCAGCATTTTGCATTTCGAGGGGGAGAATCGCATCCCGAACATGCTTGCATTGTTGCTTAGAGTGGTCAGAAGACTCTGCATTTTGTCAGCGTCTTCACCAAATAGAACTATGTCATCTGCATATTCTAAGTCAACAAGTGAACCTCCCGGTAGAAGTTCAACCCCTGGAAATCTAGACGAGGAAAGTGTTATGTCTAAAAGTACGTCGACCACAAAGTTGAACAAGAATGGGGAGAGTTGACAGCCCTGACGAACACCACTTGATGTAATCAATTCTGATGACAGTTCGCCATAAGCTCTCACTCTACCAGTTGTGTTCGAGTAGAGAGCCTTCATAAGGTTAATGTACTTCTTTGGTACTCCTTTCAGTGACAAACACTGTCATAGAACCTTACGATCAACAGAGTCGAATGCCGCGTTAAGGTCGAGAAATACTACCATTGTGGGGCGTCTGAATGTGTGTCTGTGTTCTAGAACCTGACATAGTGTGAATATCTGATCTATACAAGCACGTCCAGGTCGAAAACCGGCCTGGTTTTCTCTAGTCTGTTCTTCACGTGCTTTGGTTAGGCGTCGAAGTATTATTGAAGCTAATATTTTAGACACTATATTAGTCAAACTGATTCCTCTGTGATTGTCACAAGAGGACTTTTGTCCTTTCTTATAGACTGGCACAATCAGTGATTGAGACCAGTCAGATGGGATTACGTCCAGTTCCCAAATTCTACCTAAGACCTCGGTTAATTTCATTGCTAATACTGGACCACCATCCTTAAAAATCTCAGGAGTAAACCTGTCAGGGCCTGCTGCTCTCCCTCGTTTCAGATTTCCTATGGCTTTTGCAACTTCGTAAAGGGACGGAGGACCTACATCAACTTGCCATTCAGGTAGACTAGAGATCGTGGGAAACCGAAGTGTGGCTGAAGGCCAGTTGAACTGATCCCTAAAGTGTTCTGCCCATCGATTCAATCTCCTGGATTGAGAATGAATAATATGTCCATCTTTCTCTGAGATTGTTTCGCTAACAGTCGGGTTCCTAATTCCGGTTTCCTTAACAAGTCTGAACAATTGTCTGCTATTACCTATTACCACTGCCTTTTCCACCTCTCTTGCTTTCGCGACCCACCACTGTTCGCGATCATTGTGTAGGCTTCTTGTCAGCTTGCGTTTAAGCTGACTCCGCTCTTCGTTATGTTCAGAACCAGATGGAATGAGCTTTCGAGCATCTATCAGTGCGGTAGATGCTGCTGAGATCCAGTTTTTCTCCCTAACCTTATGGTTACCGTACCAGCAGATATTACTGCTGTCTCCACAGCTTTTCGGATACCGTTCCATGACATTAGCCCATGAAGCCATTAACTCTCGACCTGAGGCATGTTGTCAGATGTAGAGATTACCTGATCGCGGTCAGCACAATTATGGAAACAAATAGTTAGGAGCATGGCTCAGAATTGTTCGAAATGGAGCAGGTGCATTTGCTATCTGTTTTCCTTTAGATCCTGGATTTTTAGATCTTAAAATGCATTTTATTCCAGGAATTCATACTTTCGACGCCTAATGTTTTGTATAACCATTAATATGGTTACTATTCTTAATTATAGCAACTCATGTGCAATTGAGTTTGTTCTCATTTAACTCGGTTAAGCCCTTCTGTTAACTTAT